AATTAAAAAATATGACAATTTCAAAATAAGGACCAGAATGAATAATGCAGACATTCCTGGCTCTAAAATAACATTTTCTTTGTTCATCATTCACGTCTCCAGGCCCCTCTGATATTACTCTTGCTTTCTATTTTGAATTTTTATTCAAACAAAAAATAGAAGATTTACTGTTAGGCAGACTACTGCAATATTGTAATAATTGTATAAATAACATCAACCCATTCATGACTGCATATTAGAATGGCTATTTGGACATTTATTGGACAATGACATCATTTGTTTACTTTTGAACATCGGCAAAAAACAAACATTTCCCGTACTTTGAGCTCCATTTCCAGGTTCTTTTTATAGTAAAATCAATCAAAATCACCTCTATTTCTATAATATGTTTTCCATTCTATCAAATGAGACCAAGAAAACGAGAATACAACCATAAATGCTATACAAAAATAGACCACAAATTCGGCATTTTAATTAAAAAAACGGTCGGAGTTTTTTTTTCTCATTATGCACTGCGTGCTCCAGGAATTTTTTTATATGGTGCACACTGACCACACAGACCCATTCTCTCACATGTGGGCCTACCAGCTTTCTCCTGCTTGATTTGAAGCCGCTAGAATTTGAGTATATATACGTCAAACACGGTACCTCGTAAGATGTATATATATGGCCGCGACAGTCAAAGGGTTAAGAGAGTGGTGAAGCAATGTAAAAAGAGAGCAAATGAGAGAGTGAGTGAGATGTTATCAACAAATTTTGTTGAAAATAAGAAAAAGTTTTGGAGTGAGATTAACAAGTTAAGGAAGCCTAGAGAACAAATGGATTTGTCAGTTAAAAATAGGAGAGGAGAGTTATTAAATGGAGAGTTAGAGGTAGTATTGGGAAGATGGAGGGAATATTTTGAGGAATTGTTAAATGTTGATGAAGATAGGGAAGCTGTGATTTCGTGTATAGGGCAAGGAGGAATAACATCTTGTAGGAGTGAGGAAGAGCCAGTTGTGAGTGTGGGGGAAGTTCGTGAGGCAGTAGGTAAAATGAAAGGCGGTAAGGCAGCCGGGATTGATGGGATAAAGATAGAAATGTTAAAAGCAGGTGGGGATATAGTTTTGGAGTGGTTGGTGCAATTATTTAATAAATGTATGGAAGAGGGTAAGGTACCTAGGGATTGGCAGAGAGCATGCATAGTTCCTTTGTATAATGGCAAAGGGGACAAAAGAGAGTGCAAAAATTATAGGGGGATAAGTCTGTTGAGTATACCTGGTAAAGTGTGTGGTAGAGTTATTATTGAAAGAATTAAGAGCAAGACGGAGAATAGGATAGCAGATGAACAAGGAGGCTTTAGGAAATGTAGGGGGTGTGTGGACCAGGTGTTTACAGTGAAACATATAAGTGAACAGTATTTAGATAAGGCTAAAGAGGTCTTTGTGGCATTTATGGATTTGGAAAAGGCGTTTTACAGGGTGGATAGGGGGGCAGTGTGGCAGATGTTGCAGGCGTATGGCGTAGGAGGTAGGTTACTGAAAGCAGTGAAGAGTTTTTACGAGGATAGTGAGGCTCAAGTTAGAGTATGTAGGAAAGAGGGAAATTATTTCCCAGTAAAAGTAGGCCTTAGACAAGGATGTGTGATGTCACCGTGGTTGTTTAATATATTTATAGATGAGGTTGTAAGAGAAGTAAATGCGAGGGTCTTGGCAAGAGGCGTGCAGTTAAAAGATAAAGAATCACACATAAAGTGGGAGTTGTCACAGTTGCTCTTTGCTGATGACACTGTGCTCTTGGGAGAGTCCAAAGAGAAGCTGCAGAGATTGGTGGATGAATTTGGTAGGGTGTGCAAAAGAAGAAAATTAAAAGTGAATACAGGAAAGAGTAAGGTTATGAGGATAACAAAAAGATTAGGTGATGAAAGATTGGGTATCAGATTGGAGGGAGAGAGTATGGAGGAGGTGAATGTATTCAGATATTTGGGAGTGGACGTGTCAGCGGATGGGTCTATGAAAGATGAGGTGAATCATAGAATTGATGAGGGGAAAAGGGTGAGTGGTGCACTTAGGAGTCTGTGGAGACAAAGAACTTTGTCCTTGGAGGCAAAGAGGGGAATGTATGAGAGTATAGTTTTACCAACGCTCTTATATGGGTGTGAAGCATGGGTGATGAATGTTGCAGCAAGGAGAAGGCTGGAGGCAGTGGAGATGTCATGTCTGAGGGAAATGTGTGGTGTGAATATAATGCAGAGAATTCGTAGTTTGGAAGTTAGGAGGAGGTGCGGGATTACCAAAACTGTTGTCCAGAGGGCTGAGGAAGGGTTGTTGAGGCGGTTCGGACATGTAGAGAGAATGGAGCGAAACAGAGTGACTTCACGAGTGTATCCGTCTGTAGTGGCAGGAAGGTGGGATAGGGGTCGGCCTAGGAAAGGTTGGAGGAAGGGGGTAAAGGAGGTTTTGTGTGCGAGGGGCTTGGACTTCCAGCGGGCATGAGTGAGCGTGTTTGATAGGAGTGAATGGAAACAAATGGTTTTTAATACTTGACGTGCTGTTGGAGTGTGAGCAAAGTAACATTCATGAAGGGGTTCAGGGAAACCGGCAGGCCGGACTTAAGTCCTGGAGATGGGAAATACAGTGCTTGCACTCTGAAGGAGGGGTGTTAATGTTGCAGTTTAAAAACTGTAGTGTAAAGCACCCTTCTGGCAAGACAGTGATGGAGTGAATGATGGTGAAAGTTTTTCTTTTTCGGGCCACCCTGCCTTGGTGGGAATCGGCCAGTGTGATAATAATAATAATAAATTGTTCTCTCCATATACTTCTCCCTCCTTGCATCACCTCTACTCTGTAAAAACCTCTCATGTGCTAACTTTTTCTCTCTTAATACTCTCTTTACATCATCTTTTCCACCAATCTCACTTCTTCTCTCCTGCACGCACTTTCCTGTAACCACAAACTTCTGCTGAACACTCTAACACTATATTCTTAAGCTTACCCATTGCCTGTATTCTCACTATCCCATCTGTCCTCCAACAGTTGTTTATATCTTACCCTAACTGCCTCCTCCTTTAGTTTATAAACCTTCACTTCTCTCTTACTTGCTGCTTCCATTTTCCTTGTATCCCATGTACCTTTTACTCTCATTGTAGCAACAATTAAAAAGCGATCTGATATATCTGTGGCCCCTCTATAAACATGTACATCCTGAAGTCTACCCAATAGTCTTTTATCTACCAATACGTAGTCCAACAAACTACTGTCATTTTGCCCTACATCATATCTTGTAAACTTATTTATCCTCTTTTTTCTTAAAATATGTTTTACTTATAACCAAACCTCTTTCTATTCAAAATTCAATCCCTAAAATGTGGTATATAAAATTTTTATTATTGAATACATAAACCATATTGTATCAAAACCCATATTGTTCAAAACTGTATTATATAAGGTATTATTGTATGCAACATTTACAGTGCCCCAGAATGAACATTGAGACACTTATGCAACACATGGGAATGGTTTTCAAAACCATACATCACACAGAATGAACATTATTATTATTTTTTCAACAGGTCAGCCATCTCCCACCAAGGCAGGGTAACCCCAAAGAAAGATACACTTTCACCATCATTCACAAATAATCACTTTCTTTGCAGAGGCGCTCAAGTACGACAGTTTAGGTGTCACGTGAAACAGCCAGTATCCTAAACTACTCCTTTATAGTGCAGGCATTGTACTTCCCACCTCTAGGACTCAAGTTTGGCTAACCGGTTTCCCGGAATCCCTTCAAAAATATTACCCTGCTCACACTCCAACAGTTCGTTAGGTCCCAAAAATCATTAGTCTCCATTCACTCCTATCTAACACACTCACTCATGCCTGCTGTATGTCCAGGCCGTTTGCATACAAAACCTCTTTTACCCCCTCCATCCTTTCCTAGGATGACCTCTACCCCTCCTCCCCTCCACTACAAATTTATTCACCCTTCAAGTCATCTCTAAATGATTTAGGTAGCAGGTTGGTAGACAGCAACCACCCACGGAGGTACTACTCCCCTGCTAAGTGAGTGTAAAATGAAAGCCTGTAATTGTTTTACGTGATGGTAGGATTGCTGTTGTTTTATCTGTCTCATAAACATGCAAGATTTCAGGTACATCTTGCCACTTCTACTTACACTTAGGTCACACTACACATACATGTACAAGCATATATATATACATACCCCTCTGGGTTTTCTTCTATTTTCTTTCTAGTTCTTGCTCTTGTTTATTTCCTCTTATCTCCATGGGGAAGTGGAACAGAATTCTTCTTCCGTAAGCCATGTGTGTCATAAGAGGCGACTAAAATGCCAGGAGCAAGGGGCTAGTAACCCCTTCTCCTGTATAAATTACTAAATTTGAAAAGAGAAACTTTTGTTTGTGTTTTTGGGCCACCCTGCCTTGGTGGGATACAGCCGGTTTGTTGAAAAAAAAAAAATCTACACTTCCTCCTAATTTCCACACTACCAATTCTTTGCATAATATTTACACCACACATTGCCCTTAGACACAACATCTGCACTGCCTCCTGCCTCCTCCTTACTGCAGGATTTACAACCCATGCTTCACACCCATATAAGAGTGTTGGTACTTCTGTACTTGCATACGCTCCCTTCTTTGCCTAATTATTATTATTATTATTATTATTATGCTTATTGCATCTTCAACACTAGTGAGACACTCTTAGTGATTCTAATGTACCTGCACGCCAGCACTGTGTGTAAGTTTATTTAGGTACAGGTACATAAATAAGTACAATTATCAGAGTATATGTACGTATATATAAAATATGCAATAACTTTAAAACACTTGAAACTTGGAAAGTTTTCAGATGCCAACATAGTGAAGCAGGAACTGTATAAACAAATTTTTTGTGGGTATAATTTGAAATGTCGACATTAGTGAAGAGCCATAAAGCAGTGCCCTCCTGTATGCTTAATCATAGAATCTTATGGTCAAATTTTGATTATTTCTTTTTTTGCAGGTGGACTCACAAGACCGTGATGTGATACTTGGAAGCTGTGACACAAGTCTGGAGTGTGACTGGCAACTCTGTAGCGGTGACCGAGATGATGTTTTGTTTGATGATAAAATCGTGGAGGATCACCCTCAGAAAGATTTAAAGAGGAAATCTGGTGTTGATCTCCTGGACATTGTAAGTGTACAGTATTTTGACGGCTCGTGGACACTGACTGACGTGGCTGATCTCTCTGGTGTAACTCTTGCCCAGCTCAAGGACAAGAATCCTTCTCAGGTAAGAACTCTAAACAGTTTCATGAACTATAAGTTATTCTAATTCAAAATGTAAGTGAAAATATTTCTAAACACCAATAGGTTTACCTGGAGTTTACCTGGAGAGGATTTTGGGGGTCAGTGCCCCTGCAGCCCGGTCTGAGACTAGGCCTCATGGTGGATCAGGGTCTGATCAACCAGGCTGTTACTGCTGGCCGCACGCAAGCTGACATACGAACCACAGCCCAGTTGGTCAGGTACTGACTTTAGGTGCCTGTCCAGTGCCTTCTTGAGGACATTCAGGGGTCTATTGGTAATCCCCCTTATGTATGCTGGGAGGCAATTGAACAGTCTTGGGCCCCGGACACTTATTGTGTTGTCTCAGTGTACTCGTGGTGCCCCTGCTTTTTATCGGGGGAATGTTGGATCTCCTGCTGAGTCTTTTGCTTTCATATGGAGTGATTTTCATGTACAGGTTTGGTACCAATCCCTCCAGGACCTTCCAAGTGTATATTATCATGTATCTCTCTCGCCTGCATTCGAGGGAATACAGATCAAGGACCTTCAACCATTCCCAGTAGTTTAGGTGCGTACATAGACTTTCTATTTATCACATCAAATGTTTTCCACTGAGGTAGGGTGACCCAAAAATGAAGAAACACTTTCATCATCACTCTTCCCAGAGGTATGTTGATACTACAGTTCAAAAACTGCAACATATCTCCACACCCTCCTTCAGAGTGCAGATACTGTACTTCAGACCTCCAGGACTTAAGTCTAGCTAACTGGTTTCCCTGAATCCCTTCATAAATGTTACTTTGCTCATACTCCAACTGCACATCAAGTCATAAATACCATTTGCCTCCACTTGCTTCTATCCATCATGCTTGCTGGAAGTCAAAGTTCCTCGCATACAAAACTTCCCTCCTGTACTGCATTCTCTCCAAGCCTTTCCAACTTCCACTACAGATTTTTATGCTCTCCAAGTCATTCTGTTATGCTCCATAATCTCTAAATATCTGAACCACTTCAAGAAGCCCTCCTCAGCCCTCTTGAAAAATACTTTTAGAAACCCCACATCTTCTTGTAGTTTCCAAGCTACAGATTCTCTGCATAATATTCACACTGCATATTTCCCTCAGACATAACATTTCTACTGCCTCCGGCCTCTTCCTTGCTACAACATTCACAACCCATGCTTCACGCCTAATTTATATTTACAACCACTCAATTTGTCATTGCCTTATTAATTAGTCTTAAGTCTGCCCGAAATGCTCTGCATATTAAGGGGCTTTCTGCATGCATACCTAATGTCATTCACCTCTGTAGTCCTATCCACGGTTCCAACGAATAAAAGAAGTGCTTTTCGTTGTGTAAAGTACATACACAGTATACATTGTTCATAAAAGATAAGGTGGCTTTGAAGCCACTGTACATTGCCCTGAGCTCAGTCTCGTGATGCTTTATTATGCTAATGTCAACACTACTGCTTATTTATCTATCACAATTGATCTAATATGACATAATAAACAATATAAATACCCTAAAAACATGGTAAATACTGCAGAATGAATAATTGGCATGATACCGAGCGGTTCGACGGAGGTATGAAGATGATATGGGATACAAGTACCATCCTCCTATCCCTGTTTTGGGGGCTTATATTAGAGAAAACAAAGTGTAACACAGGGCTAACTGTGATATACACTTGTAATGCATCATAACACTGAAACAAAAAAGCTATTTTCTCTACATAGATTATCATACATAGCAGCCTATGTGTAGAGAACCTAGGATTACCCAAAAAAGTGACTTATTTCCAGTACCTGGCTTGGGCTTGCCATGTATGATTTTTGGTAAATATTTTTTTCTCAGTTGTTTGTTGGGCTATCTTATTGAAATTTGGGCAATATATGATGGAAAGATGCTTCTTAATGTACACCAAAAATGAAAAAAATTGGACCAAAAATAACAGAGTTCACTTCTCAGTCATTAGCCACCTCTTAGTGGTATATTTTACAGAAATAGACATGATTTTGATTGGTGTTACGACAAAAAGAACCTTGAAATTGAGCTCAGAGTAGCAGAAATGTTCGATTTTTGCTGATGTTCAATGAGCTTTCTTGTGTAAGTAAAGTTGGTTAACTTTATTAAGTGTATTCTAACCTAACCACTCTGTAATCCTCCAAACTCAGTAATCCTGCACACTACAGGTCCCAATGATGCCAGATTTGTGATGGCGGACCTGTACTATAAGCAACATTCTTCTTCTTGATTTGCCGGTACTCTCCCAGCCTGGATCTTTTCCAGATGGTGATGCGGCCTTGGCTCCTTGTCATGGGAATATCTGAGACCTATGTCTCCCATGGGAGGAAGTACAATTACCTTCTCATCTTCTGGGACCAACTGTCCCCAGGCCTAGCCCCATTCCCTGCCCTCACAGGACTTGTAGGGAGAAGCTAGGCTTCTGGTCTGCCTTCTTCCCCGCCCCAGGGGGCTCGTGGGAATGGCAGTCTTGTGAGTTGCAGGTGGTAGCAAGCTAATAAGTAACATTTACAGTACTGTAATGTAAGCAACATTTACAGTAGGTCTCCTACTTAACACTAATGCATTCCTGAAAATCATTTGTTACTTGAATGCTTGAAACCTTGAATACAGTGGACCCCCAGTTCACGAAGCCATCAGTATCCGATAAATCTGGTATCCGAAGCATTATATCGCAAAAAATTTGCCTCGGTTCCCGTTACAAAACCCGGTATGCGATAGGATTCGTATGAGACGTGTTCAGTGTTTGCAAGCCAGCCAGTGTGCACGCATCTAAGGATACATTCGGTACATTCTATATTATCCATATCACTGTTTTTGGTGCTTGTTTCTGCAAAATAAGTCACCATGGGCCCCAAGAAAGTTTCTAGCGCCAGCCCATCGAGACCAAGGGTGCTAATGACTATTGAAATTAAGGAAATGTGTGCAAAGTGGCTTGAAGTGCAAACCTTTTTTGATGAAAATCACCCTGACATGGCTACTGCAAGCCGTGTTGGCAACCTGTACACTGACTATGTTGTGAACCATTTTAGGAAAGTCATAAAGGAACGAGAGGTACAGGCCTCTATGGACAGATATGTTGTGCGAGAGAAGTCAAGTGACTCTCAAGCTGGTCCTAGTGGCATTAAAAGAAGGGAAGTAACCCCAGAAAAGGACTTGCTACCTCAAGTCCTAATGGAGGGGGATTCCCCTTCTAAACATTAAAAACTTCGACACTCTCCCCTCCTCCCATCCCATCAATCATCACCAGATCTTCATTAAAGGTAAGTGTTAATTATTCTATTGTGATTATTCTATTGTTATTATTGTTATTATAATTATTATATTGCATTAAACTTAATATATCATAGGGTAAAAGTTTTTTTTTCATACTTTTGGGTATCTTGCACGGATTAATTTGATTTCCATTATTTCTTTTGGGGAATATTGATTCGCTTTCCGATAATTTTGGTTTATGATGAGCTCTCAGGAACGGATTAATATCGTGAACCGGGGGTCCACTGTATATGTGGTCTATAGACACTCGTGTTAAATTCAAAGATGCATTCCTAACCCATAATATTATGCACCTAATTTCATTTTTAACACACCAGCCATCTACCCTGAAGGTAGGGTGACCCAAAAAAGAGAAACATTTTTACCATCAGTCATCAATCACTGTCATTCCAGAAGCATGTTGACATCCCCACGCCTCCTTCAGAGGGAAGGGGAGGGGATGTTGTAAGGCAGTGCAGTGCAGTTTTGTACAGTGCAGGCAGTTTACTTCCCACCTCGAAGACTCGAGTCCAGCTAACTTGTGTGTCTACATCCCTTCATTAATGTTACCTAGCTCGCACTCTGACAGCACGTCAGGTCATAAAAATCACTTGCCTTCACCCTAATACACTTGCACAAGCTGTTTGGATGTCCATGCCCCTAGCTTGGTAGGAAGGTAGGTTGACAGGCAGCAACCACCCAGGGAGGTACTACCATCATGCTTAGTGAGTATAAAACTGAAACCTATAATTCTTTACAATCTTGGTTGGATTGCTGGTGTCTTTCCTTTGTTTCATAAGCAAGATGACAGTTATGTCTGACTACTTCTATTTACACCTAACTCATACTACACAGGCAATTGTGTATGTATATGTAAATGTTCATTTTTCTTTTTGGGTCACCCCACCTCGTTGGGATGCAGCAAAAAAATGTACACAAGGTGCTCCTCAACCTAAGATTGTGTTACATTCCGATGAACCCATCGCAAGTTGAAAAATATCATAAGTCAGATGTGGATATATAATAAATAAGTAAATAAATAACTACTGTCACTGAATCCTAAAATTCAGGGGCCAGTGCATTAACCACTGACCTGTAAATTTTAGAGCTTCCTTGCCATGGGTTCAAACCCAACCCGTTCCGTGCTTTGTTTACAGTTGTGTTGTTATACTTGCCTCACTGATTCTTAAGTGAGACATGTTTCTTTAGAAAAATTAATCTTTATTTTCAGAATGAGAGTGCCTGGGCCACTGCTGTAGCACTGGCATTGTTGGAGAGCAAGTTTAACTCAGTACGTGATGAGTGGAGTCTCTTGGCCAACAAAGCTCGACTCTTTATATCCAACTCTGGTGAAGATGTGGAGGCTCTGTTCAAGGCTGCTCAGTTGTTCTTGGCAACACAACACCAGGAGTAGTCATATCTCAGGGTCTTTTTTTTTAAAAGAGGTTTTTATTTTAACTGCATAACTCACTTTTAAGGACAGATTTTTTTTCTTTCAAATAATTTTCCACTTTGTGAATATATTAATAATTTGTTATTGGGGTTTCTTACCAAAGGTCCCCACCAGCATTTAGTAATGATGGATATTAGTTATTCTTGCCAAATAAATTAATATACTTTTGTTGTGAAACAGTGGCAGATACAGGTTATAAAGGGTCAATATTGATAACAATATCAATTTAAAGATGTTCAGTTGGTGGGGAGTTTTGCTCTTAATGGAGTAGCAAACCACAAATTAATAAAAATTATAACTTACCATCACAAGATTTTCCTTTCGTTTAAAGGAGCTTTGTGTGGGAGTTGTAATAAAGAGTTTTGCTACTCCAGGTTGGAGAGAGTAAAGCTGCATGTGCAACCTGAAAGTTCACTCTTATTTTGTTGAAAGTTGTATGGTTAATTTTCCAGCTTTATATTGCCTATGGCATTATCTATGGTTGCCTCTGAGCTTACTTTTTATTGATTTACATGATTAGTTTGTTGTTTTTCCTCTCAGTATTGATATTCCTAAACTAATCTATAATGCTAATAGGTTGTGGATATTTATATGTTAATAAAATTGTTTGTTTTTCAATGTAATATTTTTTTTATCTCGCGTGTTTTCGTTACTTTTCTACATCCCGGCTAAAATCACTGATTTAGTAGTTTGTACCCATCCCCCCTCCTGTACTAGTCTGTTAATGAAAGAGTCCACTGTATTTATGTATACTGTATTTATATTTTGGCCAGTACAAGTTATTGAGGATTTAGCCACTGTGGTTGGTATTTCCAATATCCTGGAATCCTATAATACATCTTGCTTGGCAGGGAGAGATTGTTGGCTTAGGTTTTTTCAGCCAGTAACAATACAACACTGTATCCCTATATAATCTTGGGTTTCTGAAGTCTAAACTACTGATACCATCATTAATATGGTTATTGTGACAATATTTATGTTTAGGTCCTCCAATAAATGTCATGGTCTCACCACCTAACTGCAGTCTTTTAAAAGAATATTTCTCGTACCATGCCCATAAGTCTGATTTTTCCCTCAACCCTTGAGATCTTTTTTTTTTTTTATTATTATTATTTTTACCTATGCTTTTATGTTCATCCATTATTTTGTTGGTCAGTACATTGACATTAAGAGTGTATTGACATTGATTTTTTGTGACTGATTTTTATTTTTATGGACCATGGCATTTTTTTTTTTTTTTTTGCCACTATTGGCTTTTGTGTCACCACTGCATTTGTAGCCCCATTTTCTATCTGTGCCTCACTTGCTTATTGCCTTTATTTCTCTCTCCATTGCCTCTATTTTCCCATTGCCTCTGTGTCCTACCTTTGCTTTTTATTCTGATGTTATTTGCTGATGTGTAGCACTACATAAAGCAGCATAATTCATATACAGCTGTTGTATAATCTTCCTGTCTTTTTAGTTTTGAGATACAGAATGAGAATGTATAAGATTTATTTCAAAGTAGCAAGTTTTAGTTATACTCAGGATGGCATGAGGTTCTCTACATCTCACTGTGTGAAAGACTAGTCTAATAATTTAGTGTTCTTTCTCAACCTGTTATCATAGGACACACTTCCACTAATCCAAGATGGTGAACATTACTTTCTCTTTTAAATTACTTGTGTACTGTGAACCCCTTCACTTGATTCTCTCCATATTGTTTGTCTAGGGCTCCATACATCTCTTACTTGTGATCAACTTACATCAAGCCTTCTGTATCATATGTAGCATGTAATCTATATAAGAATCCTGGGAAGTATTATATGCATGATTTTTCCCCAGAAATGATTATCTACCTTATTTGTAAAGTTCCTATATTATGATTTTATTAAAGTATTCAGAATTTATCAAGGGTGTTGTCAGTGCAACACCTAGGTATCTATTAAATGATAATATTTTGCCAACCAGTGACTTTTTCAGTTGAATGTAGAGATATATGATGAAGTAGATGATGAGAAAAATCAGTCCCTCAGCCTGGAAGTTGATGTTCATTACCATAGTCTTGATGACTGTTCAGTACTAGGACAATGAACTCCAGCTTCCAGGCTGATGGACTGATTACCCATCTTCTACTGTAATCTCCTAATAAAGATACCCAGGTGCTGCACATGTGTGTTACTATTCTTTATTTTGATTATTGTGTATCATTATTGCAGTCTATAAGTCTAAAGGTTGTATGTATACATATAGAATATATTATTGATTGTCATCCCATTGTTTTTGTATCCTAAATGTTATTTACTAATGAGTTCTGTGAACTGAGCCAGTGTTTAATACACAGAAGTGTAATAAGCACCAGCCAGTGTCTCGTACATAAAGAAAATAAACAATAGGCAGAACACAATATTGTATACGTACTTGCATGCCTCACTGAAGGTGCCTAGATACAAAGAATTCAAGCTACTCTGCTACTGTATTAAATCTGCCTTACATTTCTTAGGCATTGTATACCCACTATGGGTTCAGAGTTCCTCCATGGATGAAATAGTAATACATATTTCATCATATTACTGTTTTAACTAAGTCGTGTGTCCTCATCTTACCTACAGCTTTACTTCTCTGCTGCATGACCTTTATGGATTTGCTGCTTCCCCATGATTATTATATTTGTTTCATCAGCATATATCACTAATGTCTTGGAATATTTTAATTTTTGGTAGTTACAACTAAGTACACTAAGAATGGTTGCTTGATGCCAATGAGGAACTCTTTATCCAAGGAATTAGAGCTGTATGACCACTAGAGGCTTAACACTTCCCTATGAATATAACAACTAGATACTTTCCCATATTGTTTCAGTGGGAAACTTAAGATGCAGTCTTCAATTAACTGCACAAATTCTTTTGTCTTGGCAGCAATAATTTTATTTTTGTGATATTTCTTCTTAGTCAGCTAACACAGTTTTTAGTGATTCCTGTGTTGGGTTTTGAGAGTTTCTGTTCTATGCAGTCAGTAAATGATCTCTACCTTTTCCAGCTCTCAGGTCTGTCCTGCCTTGATTGATGCTGTTGATACCAGTATTCTAAACTAAATTGAAGAGTGTCACTAATGGCACAACAGTAGTTCTCATTTTGAAGTTTAGTTGTGTTGCCTAAGTGACCAGTTTATCCTGTGAGAGGTAGGACAAGAAAGCAGTATCACAGAAATCGCAATGTGTGTGTATCGGACCTCACTGAGAACTGTTACATCACTAGAAAGAAATATTAGTCATTTCATATTTTATTTTTGCTTCATATAGTTAATGTACTCACCACAGTATGTGATGCAATCTCAAAAAAAAAAAATACTTAAAAATATTGATGAAAACTGTGTTGTAGTCTCGTCTATAAAAAGAGTTCACTCATTTTGATAGTCCTCATTATCTATCCTGTCATCTTTCTAGCATTCTCAGCATTTGCCTTATTGTGTTCTCTAAATGATAAGTCATTTGACATTATTATATATTAGGTTTTTACATATTCCTTGAGTTCTACAAGATGGTCTTTTTGTGTTTTGCATCCAGTGGTCCTTTTGAGTTCTTCAGTAGTTGACATTTGTTACCATTGAACATAAAGTTATTTTCTGTTGCCCACTGGAAGACTTGTCATCTTCAATTTTTTTTTCATGTCTTATACCTAAGCAATTTTCACACTTACTCTACTACTGTCTGCAAGAGATGATACCAAGCTGTGACTAGTGTTTTTAAGTTATAATTATGAGGTGTCATATAGTGTTTATAAAATGTAGTGGCATAATGTAGGAGCAGGTAGAGCAGCTGCCCGAGGCAGCTTGGTCTAAATGGCAGCAAGAAAAAAAGAAGGCAGAGTATAAAAAAAAACTAACTTTTAAAGTACACTAAGTTTTGTGAAAAATTGCTGCACATCATACAGGAATGCAAATACACGCAAGTACGAGCAAATTTTCCTCAAAAAGCGCAATACAGTGGTCCCTCAATAATCGTCCAGCCTGAAAGTCGTCCATTTCGGAAATAGTCCTGTTTTTTCGTCAAAATATTGGCTCTGAAATGGTCCGGTAACTCGCTAATAGTCCTTCGTCCCAGACGCATATGCACGGTCTGAGCGGCCTCGGGCCGCCTCAGCCTTTCCTTCCCAGCCAGTGTGCCATTGTTTACAAGTGAGCAACGGTCCCCTCACGTGCTCCAGTGAAATATTTCATATTTCATTTATTTTAGTGCTTGCAAGTTATTTAAGTGCTAAATAAGCTACCATGGCTCCAAAGAAAGCTCCTAGTGCCAAACCTTTGGTAAAGAAGGTGAGAAATACGATTGAATTTAAGAAAAACATCATTGAACAATATGATAGTGGCGTACGTGTGGGCGAACTGGTCAGGATGTATAACAAATCCCGTACAACCATATCTTCCATCATAGCCAAGAAAAAGGAAATCAAGGACGCTGTTGTTGCAAAGGGGGTAAATATGCTGACAAAAAGGAGATCACCAGTACTCGAAGATGTTGAGAAGTTATTATTGGTGTGGATAAATGAGAAACAATTAGCAGGAGACAGTCTTATGACGTCGCTTATTTGTGAAAAGGCTAGGCAGTTGCATGACGATTTGGTAAAGAAATTGCCTGCAACTAGTGATGATGTGAGTGAATTTAAGGCTAGCAAAGGCTGGTTTGAGAGATTTAAGAAGCGTACTGGCATACACAGTGTGGTAAGGCATGGTGAGACTGCCAGTTTGGACCACAAGGTGGCTGAAAAATATGTGCATGAATTCTAGGAGTACATAAACAGTGAAGGACTGAAACCTGAACAAGTGTTCAATTGTGACAAAACAGGCCTCTTTTGGAAGAAAATGCCAAAGAGGACTTTCATTACACAAGAGGAAAAGGCAATGCCAGGACACAAGCCTATGAATATGAAAGACAGGCTGACGCTAATGTTCTGTGCTAATGCTAGTGGGGATTTCAAAGTGAAGCCGTTACTAGTGTACCATTCTGAAAATCCCAGAGTGTTCAGGAAAAACAATGTTATGAAGAGTAAATTGTGTGTGTTTTGGAAATCTAATAGTAAGGCATGGGTCACGAGGGAAATTTTTGTAGAGTGGTTCAACGAAGTGTTTGGTCCTAGTGTGAAGAATTACCTCCTGGAAAAGAAATTGGATCTCAAGTGCCTCCTAGTAATAGACAATGCACCTGCTCATCCTCCAAACTTGGATGACCTAATTCTGAAGGAGTTTGGGTTCATCACAGTAAAGTTCTTGCCCCCGAATACCACTCCTCTCCTCCAACCCATGGACCAGTAGGTCATTGCAAACTTTAAAAAAAACTACACCAAAGCAATGTTTGAAAGGTGCTTGAATGTGACCTCAGACACTCACTTGACCCTACGAGATTTTTGGAAAGAACATTTCAGTATTCTCCATTGTGTAAGCCTTATAGGTAAGGCTTGGGAGGGAGTGACTACCAGGACTTGGAACTCTGCTTGGAGAAAATTGTGGCCAGGTTGTGTCCACAAGAGGGATTTTGAAGGGTTTGGGGCTGACCCTGATGAGCCTATGTCAGTTGTTAAATCCATTGTGGCACTGGGGGCTTCCATGGGGTTGGATGTGAGTTTGGAGGATGTGGAAGAGTTGGTGGAGGACCACAACAAAGAGCTAACCACTGAGGAGCTGCAAGAGCTTCAGCAGGAACAGCAACAGATGGCAGCTCTGAATCTTGCTGCAGAGGAGGAGGAAGAGAGATGGAGGAAGGTGCCTTCTTCAGAAATTAAGGAGATTTTTGAAATGTGGGGTAGGATGGAAAGATTTATGGAGAAACATCACCCAGAGAAGGATGTTGCAAGCCATATCGGCAACTTGTACAATGACAGAGTCTTGGCCCATTTTAGGGAAGTTTTAAAGAGACGCCAGAAAACAGAGCTCTCTGGACAGTTTTTTTGCGAGACAGGACTCCAGTGACTCTCAAGGTGGTCCTAGTGGCATTAAGAAACAGAGAAGAGAAGTAACCCCAGAAAAGCAATTGGTACCCAAGGTGTTGATGGAAGGGGATTCCCCTTCCAAACAGTAATTCATCCAATCAGTCTCCTTCTCCAGTCTTCCATACACAAAGAAGAATCGCCAATAAAGGTAAGTGTTATTCTGTTAATGTTTAATTCATAATGTGCCACTGTATTGTTTATGTACTACATCTATATTTCATGTAAAAAAAATTTTTGTTTTAATACTTCTGGGTGTCAGGAACGGATTAATTGAATTTACATTATTTCTTATGGGGAAAATTGATTCGTAAATCGTCCATTTCGATAATAGTCACACTTCCAGGAACGGATTATGGACGATTATTGAGGGACCACTATATATTTAAAAAAAACTTGCAGTACTCAGCCGCATGAGGCAGGCCAAAGCAGCATGGATTCGAGTCCTTGACTAGTTGCAGTGTTGTTATTGATCAATACCACTTGTTCATGGGTACAATAATATATACATTGAATAACACACACACAGTAGGGGACACCGCATGCACGAGTCATGCCTTCCGTGCTCCGCGTATGTAAGTGTTTTTGAGGGCTACCCAAGTGTTCTGCAAGGGTTGCTAAGTGTATTGGGGTAGTAAACAATTCCCTGAAGCGATTTACAATCTGCCTGAGCCACATAAGTGATCTAGAAAGTAAAACGTGGTGGCGCAGTCAGAGCGGGCAGGCTAGTGTGTGCGCTCAGGCGACGTTGCCACATGTCACCCAAGAAAGATAATAAAGTGAAACAATCGTGTGACCAGTGAAAGAAATACAGTGAATAGGGTACATTATATAACGAGAAGAAATTGAGGTGGATCTACACCAGGACGTCACATCAAGCTGGACAATCTACAGGCTGCTACAGCTGCATTGCAAGTATGTACTTTAATCACCTATGCGTGGTTGTTTGGGTGTGGGGTTTCAGGTTCCAATTAACTGCCAAGCTGATTGTGAACGGTCCAACTCCCCTAGCACAATAAAGAATAGGCAATTGGTAATCTATGGAACAAGGCGAGTAAGTTACTATAAGCCTAGGTGGTAGGAAGAGCATAGATGGCAGCATTGTAAGTAGGTGCGGGTCAAGTCACAAGAGGTTATGGTCAGGTAAGTGACCACTGAGACTCCACATAACACTCCAACACACAATTCCACCTACTTTTCAGACAAACTCACACATAATTCCACACAGTTACACACACACACAAACACACACACACACACACACATGCACACACATATACAGACTCACCAC